GTCATTCAAATGAAAAAGCTTGATAGCCCTTCATCTAAGCATGCTACTGGCTAAATATCAACATTCTGGGCCTCATGGTTATTCAGAAAAAGTCCTTTAACGATTTTAAACATATTTGATCCCTGTGACCTTGAATAAATATCAAGGTCATTCATTTGATAAAACTTGGTAGCCCTTCAGCCCATCATGTTACAGGCTAAATATCATCATCCTACGACTTTTGGTTATTCAGAAGAAGTTGTTTAAAGATTTTGAACATATTTGATCCTTGTGACCGTGAAAATAATTCAAGGTCATTCATTTGAACAAACTTGGTAGCCCTTCATCTCAGCATGCTACTGGCCAAATATCACTATACTGGTCCTTTTGGTTATGCAGAAGGTGTATAAATGTTTTTTTAAGACAATTGACCCCTGTGACCTTGAATATAAGTGAAGGTCATTCATTTGAACAATCTTGGTAGCCCTTCATTCAGAAGAAGTTGATTAAAGTTTTTAACATATTTGACCCCTGTGACCTTGAATATGGGTGAAGGTAATTAATTTGAACAAACTTGGTAGCCCTTCATCCATGTTTGCTCTGGCCAAATATCATCACCCTAGGCCTTTTTGTTATTAAGAAGAAGTTGTTTAAAGTACAATATTGAAGCCGGACGCCGGACACCGCACCCTGGCGATGTCTGGTGTCCGGCTTCAATATTGTACTTTAAACAACTTCTTCTTAACTCATTAACCCCTAAAGACACATTTGACCTCTTCCTATTCAAAGGTTAGAATAGTGCATTATGAAATTTCAGGGGTGAATGAGTTAATAACCAAACAATATACTTAACAATGGAAGAAGTTGCATTTTTTTCTTAAAAAACTCTGTTCCTTTTTCCCTTGCAAAGATGCTCTTTACCAAATTAAGTTAAATCCCCTACATTCGAATGAATGAAATAAATAATTTAAAAAAAGATTTAACCCTGTTTCATACTTTTTGGTCCCACCCATGTCTCCGGGGGGCACTTCCTCCAATTATAAAACATCAAGTCTCCATTGCCCAGAGATTATCTTGACCAAATCTGGTTAAAATTTCTCCATTTGCACAGAGGATAAAGATTGTATAGATTTACATTTATTTCCCATCTATTGGGCCATGCTCCTCAGTCCCAACGTTGCTTACATTCTCTGCTTATATAGCCTAGAATCCCCTTGGCTTAGTGATGCTTTAGATCACATTTGGTTAGAGACATTCATGTGCACAAGAGGGATTTAAATCAATTACCACTATTTCTCCCAACCCATTTGCCCCCAAGAGGGCGTGGGGAAAGGGCCCAAACTTTCCATTTATACAAAATTGAGTCCCCTCTGCCTAAGTATGCTCTAGAGTAAAGGTAAAAATCCCTCTTTTCATACAGAAAGAGAAAGGTTTTAAATCTTTACCTCTATTAGGTCCCACCCCTCTACCTAATAGGAGCCACACCCTCCAGTTATGCAACATTGAATCACTTTGTCCCAATGATGCTCTACATCAATCATATTTGGTTTAAGATACCTGGATCCATGTGAAAGAAGATTTTTGTTAAAGATTTAGCCACATTAGTTGGCCGTGCACTCCTGCCTCCAAAGGAGCTACATTTGTATATCCTCCATTCATTCAACACTGAATGTGAGGCAAGGTAGTGTAGTGGTAGGACACTAGACCCAAGGATTGCGGGTTTGAGTCACGGCACGGCACTGTGCTGTATCCTTGAACAAGATATTTTACTCAGATGTAAATGTGTATGTGGTTGGGCAGTGCTAGAATTGTTGAATGCTAGCTGTGAGAGGCTGTATGCTCCCCAGGGAGTTGAGATAGATATTGGCTGGTTGCAAAGGCCTTATAACCACAGATAATAATTTGTGAACAGCTTTGAGACAACCTACGAACTAGGATGTGATAAAGCGGTATATAAGAACCTTGGTTTATTATTATTATTATTATTGACATGAGTTCCTTTTGCTTAACGAAGATTTAGACTGTATTAAGTCAAAATCCACCAAGCTATTCAGGACTGTTAGCGTTTTAAAGGGAAAGGTTGACAGGCACCAAGCCCAGCATTAGCTCACTGGTCTTATAGGTGAGCTAAAAGCCGAGTCCTCTCTGCCAAAGGATGTTCTAACCCAAATTTAGTCAAAAACTGTATTTCGTTTGGGAAGAGAAGGATTTTATATTTTTAACATAAAGTATGGGGTTGCCTGGGTTTCCTTCCACATTTAGATCCCCGGCATGCTAGCATCTTGGTCAACAAGAGTTTTAAATATAAGTTGAAACAACTTGTTTCATAGTTGCTGTAAAGTGAATTAAAGCTTTTAACTAAGCAATGTTCTATTTTAGCAACTAGTGTTCTTGTCTCATCTTGAGGCTGAAGTTTGATCGCCTTACGACCATCTATTCTAGGTATTCGGCCCCTGTATGAAGTTTGATCGCCTTACGACCATCTATATTAGGTATTGAGCCACTGTATGAAGTTTGATCGCCTTACGACCATCTATTCTAGGTATTGAGCCCCTGTATGAAGTTTGATCGCCTTACGACCATCTATTCTAGGTATTGAGCCCCTGTATGAAGTTTGATCGCCTTACGACCATCTATTCTAGGTATTGAGCCCCTGTATGAAGTTTGATCGCCTTACGACCATCTATTCTAGGTATTGAGCCCCTGTATGAAGTTTGATCGCCTTACGACCATCTATTCTAGGTATTGAGCCCCTGTATGAAGTTTGATCGCCTTACGACCATCTATTCTAGGTATTGAGCCCCTGTATGAAGTTTGATCGCCTTACGACCATCTATTCTAGGTATTGAGCCCCTGTATGAAGTTTGATCGCCTTACGACCATCTATTCTAGGTATTGAGCCCCTGTATGAAGTTTGATCGCCTTACGACCATCTATTCTAGGTATTGAGCCCCTGTATGAAGTTTGATCGCCTTACGACCATCTATTCTAGGTATTGAGCCCCTGTATGAAGTTTGATCGCCTTACGACCATCTATTCTAGGTATTGAGCCCCTGTATGAAGTTTGATCGCCTTACGACCATCTATTCTAGGTATTGAGCCCCTGTATGAAGTTTGATCGCCTTACGACCATCTATTCTAGGTATTGAGCCCCTGTATGAAGTTTGATCGCCTTACGACCATCTATTCTAGGTATTGAGCCCCTGTATGAAGTTTGATCGCCTTACGACCATCTATTCTAGGTATTGAGCCCCTGTATGAAGTTTGATCGCCTTACGACCATCTATTCTAGGTATTGAGCCCCTGTATAAAGTTTGATTGCCTTATGACCATCTATTCTTGGTATGGAGCCCAGTAGGACGTTTGATCGCCTTACGAGCATCTATTCTAGGTATTCGGCCCCTGTATGAAGTTTGATCGCCTTACAACCATCTATTCTATGTATTAAGCCCCTGTATGAAGTTTGATCGCCTTATGACCATCTATTCTAGGTATTGAGCCCCTGTATGAAGTTTGATTGCCTTATGACCATCTATTCTATGTATTAAGCCCCTGTATGAAGTTTGATCGCCTTATGACCATCTATTCTAGGTATGGAGCCCAGTAGGACGTTTGATCGCCTTACGAGCATCTATTCTAGGTATTCGCCCCCTGTATGAAGTTTGATCGCCTTACAACCATCTATTCTAGGTATTGAGCCCCTGTATGAAGTTTAATCGCCTTACGACCACCTATTCTAGGTATTGAGCCCCTGTATGAAGTTTAATCGCCTTACGACCATCTATTCTAGGTATTAAGCCCCTGTAGGAAGTTTGATCGCCTTACGACCATCTATTCTAGGTATTAAGCCCCAGTATGAAGTTTGATCGCCTTACGACCATCTATTCTAGGGATTGAGCCCCTGTATGAAGTTTAATCGCCTTACGACCACCTATTCTAGGTATTGAGCCCCTGTATGAAGTTTGATTGCCTTATGATCTATTCTAGGTATTGAGCCCCTGTATGAAGTTTAATCGCCTTACGACCACCTATTCTAGGTATTGAGCCCCTGTATGAAGTTTAATCGCCTTACGACCACCTATTCTAGGTATTGAGCCCCTGTATGAAGTTTGATCGCCTAACGACCATCTATTCTAGGTATTGAGCCCCTGTATCAAGTTTGATCTCCTTACGACCATCTATTCTAGGTATTGAGCCCCTGTATCAAGTTTGATCGCCTTACGACCATCTATTCTAGGTATTCGGCCCCTGTATGAAGTTTAATCGCCTTACGACCACCTATTCTAGGTATTGAGCCCCTGTATGAAGTTTAATCGCCTTACGACCACCTATTCTAGGTATTGAGCCCCTGTATGAAGTTTGATCGCCTTACAACCATCTATTCTATGTATTAAGCCCCTGTATGAAGTTTGATCGCCTTATGACCAACTATTCTAGGTATGGAGCCCCTGTATGAAGTTTGATCGCATTACGACCATCTATTCTAGGTATTGAGCCCCTGTATCAAGTTTGATCGCCTTACGACCATCTATTCTAGGGATTGAGCCCCTGTATGAAGTTTAATCGCCTTACGACCATCTATTCTAGGTATTAAGCCCTTGTATGAAGTTTGATTGCCTTATGACCATCTATTCTATGTATTAAGCCACTGTATGAAGTTTGATCGCCTTACGACCATCTATTCTAGGTATTAAGCCCCTGTGTGAAGTTTCATTGGAATCTGATTGTAAATGAACTTGGTAGAATGATGACAAGGACATGCTAAGCATTTTTTTATCAGTGACCTTGACCTTGAGGCTAGAATTCCGAAATGAAAAGTTGTTTGAGCTATCTTGTTACCAAAAGGTTCCATAGGATCTGATTGAAAATGAAGTTGGTAGAGCAATACTAAGGAGAGTTACCAAAAAAGAAGGGTAGATCCTAACACGATCTGTTGTAGGACAGGTGTACAAAAAAAGGGTCTGCAAAAAATCATAGCAAGCTGCAGCCATGGCGATTGCAAAAACAACAAGACAACTGTCTGATAGAAAGAGAAAATCAGATTTATTTAGGTTTGTAGTCGACACAAACATTAATACAGAAAAATGTAATCAGGGAATATCAATGAGCATATATATATTAGCAAAGTCTATACAGTACAAGGGAGTGATTTCCCATTCTGTTACAGTTAGTTGTAGTTAAGCAGTTAAGCTAGGTTAATGAAAATCAGTGTTGATTACACACACAACTGGAGGACAGAGTACACTGGTCATGCTTCAGGCTCATAGGAAATACATGTTACACTCCAACCATATGTTCTACCTCTTTTACCAGAACTCTGTCAGCTAAATTACATCATTTAAAATAAGTCTTTGCCATATAAATAAATCTAGATGTTAATCTTAAATGATTTTCTCTAAGGTTATTTGTGCATACATAATTTAAAGTTTGTCAATTTTTTTTTATTTTTTTTTAAATTTGAAAATAATTTCTTTTCAATCAAAATTTTATCAACAGGTGTGTGTAAGGAAGGAAATTATTAATATACCATAAAAACAGTATTGTCATATGAAACATCATATAAATCCTACTTTTGTTTTATTCTTCATGACAAAAAAATGGCCTTTTCTACTGTCACACTGAAAAAAAGGTATAATTTTATATCAGATGACAAGATGGATTATAATCATTACTTATTGATTGGAAAAAGATTTGTTGTACGAGAAACATGAATAAGGCGAGGATACCCGACACGATCACTACCTGTCTACAGTAGCACGCTAACAACACCACTATGGCCATTTTACATCACATTCATTAATAACGGGAACAAATCGTAAAAAATATAAAACAAAATAGAAAGCAGATGGAGAACTTTCAACACATTATATAAACACCTCTCACACAAAAACATAACTCAGGTGTATTGACAAAGGCACATTCCAACACAATCCTCAACAATCCCACTGCATAGCAAAACAAGACGCCCAAGGGGCCTATATCGCTATCCTGTCATTCATTTTTAATAGTTTTAATAGGCTAAATAGCATTACTTTACACACAATGGATCTTTAGAAGAATGTTTTACACTGTACCTTAAGGCTGTTTGTTGGGAGATTTTATTTTACTAAACTGACCTTCAATGTTGGTTGGTCTAAGTCATTCATTCAGATCCCAAACTTCATATCACTTAATATCATTAAGCTACATGCCAAGTATCATCACCCTAGGCCTCTTGATTAATCAGAAGAATTCATTTCAAGGTTTTAACACCATTAATCCCTGTGACCTTGGAAGTGTGTCAAGGTCATTCATTTGAACAAACTTAATAGCCCCTCATCCCAGCATGTTACTGGCCAAATATCATCACCCTAGGTTTCTTGGTTATTCAGAAAAAGTTCAAATAAAAAGTTGATGCCAGACGGACAGAGGGACGACACCACAGCATATGCTCATATGGCCTTTCAGGTCAAATGAAGTCAATGGTTGGAGGCCAAAACACCACACTAGGACTTTGAATCAGTACATTTAAGAACTCTTGACATATCAAATACAATGAAATTAAAGGAGTTTTTTTTATCAAGGGAGATAAAATCCAAAATATTTAAAGATTTTGTTCTTATTGCCAATTTCTACTTCATCACGAAAAACTGAATAGAGAAATGAAGATTGTTTCTTTAAAATAAAAAGATTTTGTTTCACTGGTTCTATTATTCGAATGCATTTGTCTCTAAAACACAGATTTATATTTTATCTCCAACTATTGGATGACTGTATTAAGAAACAACTAAACCATTGACCAGTAAGATGAACAGCAGTGTTGAGGTGGTCAATGTAGTGATGTGATGTAGCTAAATGTTTACATAATTTTGATCTAAAGGTTAACAGATAAGGAAGTTCTGATTTATAGCACCAAGTAAAACCGGGAACATGGATGTAACTCCTCATGATAATGTCACATAGTACCTCCTAAGGATTTTCATAAAACACTCTCCAGAATTATAAATTTGTCATGTTAAACAAAATTGTGTGTGCTCCAATTTCTTTTTTAAATTATGAATGTAAAGATCTTTTGAAATAAAGAGAACAGGGTTTTAGGTATAATCTTTCCTTTTCTTTCTTGAGAAATCTTAAAGCACTTGAAATTCAGAGAAATCTATAGCACTGAACCCTTGTGAAATGTATAGCACTTTAACAACTTCAGATAAACGTTACTGATGTGTGGTGAGTTCACAGGGACAATTTCTAATTGTTTACTGATACGCTATCCCACCTTTACAATGGCAAAATATAACACCAAAGGCAACAGTTCTTATGTGAACAGCATATCTACGGCAGCTTACTGAACACTTCTCATACATCGACACGATACCATGTTCATACATCAACACGATACCATGTTCATACATCCACACGATACCATGTTCATACATCGACACGATACCATGTTCATACATTTACACGATACCATGTTCATACATCGACACGATACCATGTTCATACATCGACACGATACCGTGTTCATACATCGACACTGTACCATGTTCATACATCAACACGATACCATGTTCATACATCCACACGATACCATGTTCATACATCCACACGATACCATGTTCATACATCAACACGATACCATGTTCATACATCGACACGATACCATGTTCATACATCGACACGATACCATGTTCATACATCGACACGATACCATGTTCATACATCAACACGATACCATGTTCATACATCGACACGATACCATGTTCATACATCGACACGATACCATGTTCATACATCGACACGATACCATGTTCATACATCAACACGATACCATGTTCATACATCCACACGATACCATGTTCATACATCCACACGATACCATGTTCATACATCAACACGATACCATGTTCATACATCGACACGATACCATGTTCATACATCGACACGATACCATGTTCATACATCGACACGATACCATGTTCATACATCAACACGATACCATGTTCATACATCGACACGATACCATGTTCATACATCGACACGATACCATGTTCATACATCGACACGATACCATGTTCATACATCGACACGATACCATGTTCATACATAGACACGATACCATGTTCATACATCGACACTGTACCATGTTCATACATCCACACGATACCATGTTCATACATCAACACGATACCATGTTCATACATAGACAAGATACCATGTTCATACATAGACACGATACCATGTTCATACATCGACACGATACCAAGTTCATACATCGACACTGTACCATGCTCATACATCAACACGATACCATGTTCATACATAGACACGATACCATGTTCATACATCGACACGATACCAAGTTCATACATCGACACGATACCATGTTCATACATCGACACGATACCATAGTTACAAATACCATACATGGATAAACTAATTTACCTTTGTAATACATAATAAATTTTCAGAAATAATCTAACAATTTAACTTAATAACAACAATAAAATCTGTACTCTACAAGAACTATCAACAGATAGATTACGTCTCTCAGGTGTATTGCTGACTGTGTGATGAACAACACTATTAGACAAATATCACTTCCCTTCCATCAGGAGAGAAGACATTTTAGGGACAAGGATGTACATATAAAGGACAGGGCAACTCCTTTTATCCAAACACAAGACATTAAAAAGTAGCATATTCACATTCAATATACAGAGGTAAAGATAGATGAAAAGTTGAAAAACCATTAGATCTGGTATTGTTTAACTCATTCACCCCTGAAATGTCATAATGAACTATTCCAACCTTTGAATTGGAAGAGTTTAAATGTGTCTTCAGCGGTGAATGAGTAAAACAAGAACAATCAACGTGTGTCAAACATAAATAATGAACATGTAAGTAATAACCCTGTGGGATGAAAACTGAAATATTTGAAACACACTGCAGTATTCTAATGCAGAAAAAAACGCAGGCTGAGGACCGACATGAGTTGCACAGATATTTTATACAACAGTGAGTAATAATTTCCTGTCAGAATCATGCTAAGCTGACATTTTCTCTTTATCTGCCTGAAACAGATGAGTAAACACTCACTATAAGTTGACTCTTCTCTCTATGATATACTTCCACATGTTAGATGGCTTAAGTGATTACCTTTAGTCATAAGGGGAGATAACCTGTTCATTAGGTAAAAGGACACCTACAAGGTTGGCAGAAAGCCTTGCTGATGGCACCAAATTGCATGCATCAAAGTCACCATGAAACCAAAGCTTGTCTTTTGACATAATACACAAAGATTCAACGAAGAAAATGTGTCTCATACTCAGTCCAGACACTTTGTACACAAACAGAAGAGCAATTTAATTGGCATGTGATGAAAATGAATATTTTGTTGACTCTGGTTAAATATTTATAAGATTTAGACATACAAATTATAATTTGTGAATTAAGTTTTTTCATTTTTCATGTTTGTTAAACAAAAAAACCCTGCTTTTATGTATTGTGTACTCAGACTGAACTGATCAAGTGATTAAAAATGGCACAAAATAAGTGTTATATCACACAGTTACATGTGTTTGTCCCAGCATGTCATTCACACTGACCAGCAACCCGTATACAAATGTATCTGATGATGATAATGAAAACAAAAAACCCCAAAGATTTAGAGCCATGCAGAAGTAGAAACTTGACAACACATAAGGCGGCAAGCCATTATGATTTTGTTTATCATCGTTATTATGCAAAACCAGTCGCTTGGTCACACCTTCACAGAGTAGTACTTAACACACAAAATATCTTATATTGACAAACACAAGCACACAACATATCCTTATACATTTTCTACAGTAACAATTAAATCAACAGTTGCTATTCTTATTTGGTGGAAGTTTGGTGAAATATTTAACAGGAAAATGATGCAAGCAAAGTAATCTGTAAAACTGATCTCCCTTTAGCAAATTGGCCATTGTACTAGCTTAAGGTAACGGGTACCACTGTGTCAGTTATAATAGCAAAGAAGAGTTCCGTTTTGTTTTAACTTAAGAGTATTCTCCCTTCCATATAGAAAATGAATCAACCGGAAGGACTCTTTCTGACCGAGTGACCGCCCAGCCCAATTTTTTTTTTTTAAGCTTTGAGGCCCTTAAATGATGCTGCACTAACATTTAAAACAACTACAATTCCATAAAATGCATGGCGAAAATTATTTATTTTGAAAAGGACTTAAACAAAACTTTCACAGCAGTGGTACCGTTTACCTTACAGAACAAATACATCAGAACAGGACAAAGTTGTGATGATTCAGGGAGGAGTTAGTCTGCCAGTCTGTATTCCACAATATCTACCTGCCACTTCTGTGCAGATATATGACAAGTACCCCCTTTTCAGTTAAAGTCCTATTGCAACTCCTGGTAGGATGTAGGCCTTACAGACTGAATCGGCACAGTTGAGGTTAAAGGTCATACATGTGAGATATTTTCTGATCAATGGACTATCATCAGGTCCAACTAATAAAAAGGATGTATTCCTATCATGGAATGTTTAAAAAAAAATGTTTATCTCTCTAAAAGCAAGAGATCCTAGAGGGATCTTGGTGCCCACCATCATAAGGTCTTCTAGGTCTACATCAGCTTGATCTTTTCCTTTCATTTCTCCTCCTTTCTCTGTAGAATTTATAGTTTGTCAACCGTGAATGCATCTTGTGATATCTTTTGATAAATACTTCATACAGCTGGGATCGGGAGCTTTCTTTTTCAATTGAGGTCATTGTTTATTTCCTGAGAAAGAGCTATAACAAGCTTGAAATCTCAAAATATGAGATGGCTGCTCAATTGGTAGCCATTTTGTTTTTTCCCCGATCAGTTCCAAAATGAAACATTCGCTATCATGGACCATAGGTAACCTACAAATGAAATTAATAAAATATCTGTTCAGTTCTTTTTAAGATATATCAATACCAAGAACAGTCTATGGATGGACGAATGACGGACAAAGGGCGATTTGATCTGGCCACCATCTGGTAATGGTGGGCTAAAATTCTAGTCATGTAGAACATGTGTATGTAAATCACCTCATGATATTAACAGTAAACTTATATAGTCGACAATTCCTTTTCATCAACTTATCTATTTTTGGTGTGGTATATGAAAAGTTCTAATCTATAAATATTTTTAATATATTTATCATGCTCCAATTGATGTTTTATTTCCCTTCCTGGAAAAAATCTGTTCTTCCTTGTTTCTGTTGAAGTGTCATAGATATGCTATGTATACTACCTCTCCTTCTTATTTACACTTCAAAATTATTCAATAAATACTGATACTATTTCACACTTAAAAACTTTACATCCTAGTAAATGGAATATCGTACAGACCCTTACATGTTCACTGTTCCACCTTAAACACAAGCTATGAAATGCTATGGAAACACTACAGAGGATTGGTTCATTTGTCAATGAATGCTCCTGTTTTTATAAAAAGCAGAATGCCATGTCTTATCGTAGACAAGAACAACCTCTGACCTGCACTGTACGATGAGCCATCATTACAATTTATTGTTTGAAATTTTCTGTTTAATAAAGATATTTGTATGTTGGTGTACTTGATGCAATCAATAGAAAGATGTCGCAGGGTTAAAGGTCATGTTACCTGGAGGTACACACGGCACAATGGAAATGGATGTATTATGAGTTACAAAACTTACAGAATAAAGAGATTTTACAATAGATGACTGTGTTGCAAAATTTACACGATAGGAGTTTTTACGATAGATGACTTTGATGTTGGGCCAATCAATTAGAATTCTACTTTCGACCAGCATACGTCAGAACAAATGTAACAGGTAACAGGTCACAATCAACGTGACTTGCTGTAATAGGTACTTATCTATAGTCAGAAACCATGTGTTTAGGTACTTATCAATAGTCAGAAACCATGTGTTTAGTTACTTATCCATAGTCAGAAAACAGGTGTCTAGGTACTTATCTATAGTCAGAAACCATGTGTTTAGTTACTTATCTATAGTCAGAAACCATGTGTTTAGGTACTTATAGATAGTCAGAAACCATGTGTTAAGCTACTTATCTATAGTCAGAAACCAAGTGTTTAGTTACTTATCTATAGTCAGGAACCATGTGTTTAGGTACTTATCAATAGTCAGAAACCATGAGTTTAGATAATGGTCCGAAACCATGTGTTTAGTTACTTATCCATAGTCAGAAAACAGGTGTCTAGGTCCTTATCTATAGTCAGAAACCATGAGTTTAGATAATGGTCCGAAACCATGTGTTTAGTTACTTATCCATAGTCAGAAACCAGGTGTCTAGGCACTTATCTATAGTCAGAAACCATGTATTAAGGTACTTATCTATAGTCAGAGACCATGTGTTTAGGTACTTATCTATGGTCAGAACCCATGTGTTTAGGTACTTATCAATAGTCAGAAACCATGAGTTTAGATAATGGTCCGAAACCATGTGTTTAGTTACTTATCCATAGTCAGAAACCAGGTGTCTAGGCACTTATCTATAGTCAGAAACCATGTGTTAGGTACTTATCTATAGTCAGAGACCATGTGTTTAGGTACTTATCTATGGTCAGAACCCATGTGTTTAGGTACTTATCAATAGTAAGAAACCATGTGTTTAGTTACTTATCTATAGTCAGGAACCATGTGTTTAGGTACTTATCTATGGTCAGAAACCATGTGTTTAGTTACTTATCGCTAGTCAGAAACCATGTGTTTAAGTACTTATCCATAGTCAGATACCATGTGTTTAGGTACTTATCTATGGTCAGAACCCATGTGTTTAGGTACTTATCAATAGTAAGAAACCATGTGTTTAGTTACTTATCTATAGCCAGAAACCATGTGTTTAGGAACTTATCTATAGTCAGAAACCATCTGTTTAGGTACTTATCAATAGTCAGAAACCATGTGTTTAGTTTCTTATCTATAGTCAGAAACCATGTGTTTAAGTACTTATCCATAGTCAGATACCATGTGTTTAGGTACTTATCTATGGTCAGAACCCATGTGTTTAGGTACTTATCAATAGTCAGAAACCATGAGTTTAGATAATGGTCCGAAACCATGTGTTTAGTTACTTATCTATAGTCAGAAACCATGTGTTTGGGTACTTATCTATAGGCAGAAACCATGTGTTAAGGTACTTATCTATAGTCAGAAACCATGTGTTTAGATAATGGTCAGAAACCATGTGTTTCATCATCTGCTTACCAACTGAAAGACCAACATCACTCTTGGCTTTGGTTCTTGTTATCAATTAGTTTTCACCGTCTACTTTTAAGGTCTGCCATTCACTTGATTTACTATTTATTATATATAACTTGAATTTTCTCTGTATGTAATCATACTGAACTTTATCAATGTTTTTCTTCCCAAAAATGGTATTAAGTAAAATTTTCAACTGAATGTTTGATAATTGCTTTTTGAGTTGAAAGCCAAAGACACAAACCTTGATCAAGTACTACTGAAAAGCTTATAAGTGCCTTGTTCAAAATGGAACAGTAAACGTGTACAGGCCTATGTAAGACCCTATACCTTCAGATTATAAGAATATTATGTACCATAAATTGGGATATTTTTACTGTGGTAATCTTTTTGCCTATTACACACAAGATTCAAATTGGCAAAAATTAAACATCTAAAAATGTCATGACTGTATATAATAATGACCGTGAATCAATAAAGAAGATTTTACTAGAATGGGGGTATAGGAATATCGCCGAGTCAACATCCACATCTACAAATATTTCTGAGTGTACCCTTCTACCCTTTTTGAATTGTATACAATAGTATAGTCTGATACTGACATAATAGGCAATTTTGCTGACCAGCACATTTCACAAACTTTAGACCATATTTGTTTGAGTGGATTTATGCCTCTTTCACTACCAAGCGGTCCAGCAGAGGAATAATATGTCAACATGTCAATATTATCCTATTTTGAACAGACAGACCATCACTGTTTGACCCATCTTGACAACGATATTATAGCTAACGACCATGTCTGTGACTGGGTTAATTAGTAAACATGAGAAAAAGAATACGTAGATAAAGAGAGGACATTACACCATTTTATCGCTAAAATTGGAAATTACGCCGCCAATCATGGTACCCATCAGATGATCTCGGAAGTGCAACTCGATCAAAAACTCAAATTAAGATATTTTTACAGTAATCAATATTTGCGGATAATCCAAATTTGCAACAAACAAAATGAATAAATAAACAAGTAAAAATTAAGCTACAGCTACTTTCAAGAAATTCACAAAAATAAACCTATGTAAAAAAATCCCAATTTAGGGTAATGCTTTACCCTCTACATTCAGATTATTGCTACCACTGGGCTACCTACCACTGTGTGGTGTGGTAGGAGTTTTAACAAATACTGCAAATGTACATAATTCAAGCTTCCTCATACACAGTACAGACATTAGATATGTATTCAAAATTCACTCAGAATCTACATTTGAAATGCAAACATATATTGTCATTCAAACAAATCAGACCAACGGATTAGTCATTGAATCTGTTCCTACCTCAACCTTTTCCGTCATTAACCATTCTTAAAACCATCAAATGGAATGTTAACAAGAACAATTCTTTTAAGAATAGCAAATAACATAGAGATTTTTTGAAAACACAACAGGATTAAAATACATTGTATCTGAAAATTTTGTACATTCATGTAAATTAAAAAAATGTTTTGCATACAAAGTCCTTAACTAAGTGAAAATATAAATTCGCCATCAACTTTCGCCCTTGAAGAAGTCCATGAGACGGAAATATTGGTACTAAGACTGACCATTTTTATCATGTTTAAGTTTCAATTAGTATTTTGTATAGAAAAATGGATTACCCTATCTATCTACATCTTCAAGAAGTTACCTGAAGACTTGTCACCAAGCATTTCATGCTTCAGTCATGTTACCCTTTTATTTTTCTCAAAAGTCACAAAATATATCTATGGTTTACAAGGTCGACTCAAGTAAAGCTGTCACTATTATCAAAATAGGAAATACAGTTCTAGATAATTAACGCCGCAGATAGTTTTCAATCCTGAGCATACCCTAGAAATACAGTGGTCAAATACAAACACAGGTAAAATAGACCATATGTCTAATCAAGTCACACTACAGTATCCGATAGTTACATAATAGGTAATATAGTACATGTATATAACGCAACAGTATCCGATCGTTACATAAAGTTACAAAGCTGATATAGTATCAAACAAGATTTTCACTGTTCTTCAACACTTTGCAAATTGTACTGCGAAAGAATTTAATGATGACCTGAAATACCACATGTATACAGTAGAGAAGATACCCTATGGACCCTGTACCTCACTCTCAAATTACAGCTGAACATATGGTCACCTTTTTCCCGATGTCCCATCTGGCTTTCCACAACACAAGAAACTTTGCTGTTTAATCCCACGATACTTATTTTTCTCTGAAACGCTCTCATGACAAAAGACAGAAATGAACAAAATAAGCTGGAGATAATTTCATGTTAAAAAGAGCTAGATTTCGAGTTATGATACGCATTGAGCTAGACAACATAGACAAACAGACACTGCCATTGACATTCTATATGGTTCCACATGATATTTAGATTAACATCACACAAAAACTAGTAGCTTGTTTTGTGTACATTCAAAACTTGAGTTATGTCCAATAAGTTTAAGTTCAGGGGTCAAACTGTAGCACATCTTTGAAACAACATAGTTTTTTCAATGGATTATAGCATGTTGGTATTTTAAGAATTATAGCTCGGTATTTAGAATTATAGCAAGCTATTAAGCATCTACAGGCTTCCTGAGAAAAAACCTGCATAGTTGTAATGAGTGGAAACAATTATTGACACTTTCTATAAATGTTCGAAGGGAAAAGAAAACAGAGTACGGCAGGGCAGAACAATATACACATGTGCCATACTAATCTGACATATGTACCTTAATCCTTCTGATGCATTATCGTATCTAAATGTATATTGATATGGAAATGTGACAAGAATCAACATTTGTACTGTATAACTCAGTAAACTTTTGCTGGAATGTGGTGAAAGGAGAAAACCTACTGTACTAGATGAACTTAAGCTGTAGGAATAGAGATATTTCCTACAGCTTTTATGACCTTTAAAAAGTTGATTTTCATAGGAAATGTCTCCTTTTGTATATATTTCAACCAGGAAATTGAAATTGATTTTTGCCAATGATCAGTTCATCGCACACCAAAGATGTTTCTACTTTTCTTAACTACTGGCAGATTTCACTAGACCAAGTGTAAATATTGACCTAGCCCAATCAGAATCCGATCATATTTGACTAAGGTATTGTGCATGTGCAGTAACTGTCAACCAGTCTGACAGCGTTATGCTGATGAATTATGTGCAGTAACTGTCAACCAGTCTGACAGCATTATGCTGATAATTTATGTGCAGTAACTGTCAACCAGTCGGACAGCATTATGCTGATAAATTATGTGCAGTAACTGTCAGCCAGTCTGACAGTATTACGCTGATAAATTATGTGAAGTAACTGTCAACCAGTCTGACAGCATTACGCCGATAAATTATGTGCAGTAACTGTCAACCTGTCTGACAGCATTATGCTGATAAATTATATGCAGTAACTGTCAACTAGTCTGACAGCATTACGCTGATAAATTATATGCAGTAACTGTCAACCAGTCTGACAGTATTACGCTGATAATTTATGTGCAGTAACTGTCAACCAGTCGGACAGCATTATGCTGATAAATTATGGGCAGTAACTGTCAACCAGTCTGACAGTATTACGCTGATAAATTATGTGAAGTAACTGTCAACCAGTCTGACAGCATTACGCTGATAAATTATGTGCAGGTTTTGCTCACCTTTAGCTTACCCTTTGTCACTGTATAACATGAATATTGACCAAGTTTCGTCAGAGTTTGGTCATGTGCAGTAAGCATCAACCAATCAGAGCACAGTATGCTAATTAATTTTGCACAGATTTGTTCAACTTTGAACTTAACCCAGTATTTATATTATGTACATGACTACCAAGCTTCATCAAAATCAAGCAACATTTAAGCAAGATATCTTGTGGAAAACTGGGTTTTGAAATTGATCTATCAGAGCTCAGGACGCTAATAAACTAAGCGCAGATTTTGCTCAATTTCAAACTTCATGTAATGTATATGCACAGCAAGTGTCGTCAAAAGTGAAGAATATCTAGACAAGTTATCTTGCGGAAACTCAAGTTTGGAAATTGACGAGTCAGAAAACAGTATGATTTTTTAGTGTGCATGGATTTTGCTCAAGTTCAACCTTAGCCTCAGTCTTTGTATAATGTACATGCATACCGAGTTTCATAAAAATTGAATGAATTTTTAAACAAGTTATCTTGCGGAAACCAAAGTGTGGACAAACAGGCGGATGCTCCCCATAACAATCATTCGTCCTGTTAACATTTTGAAAGGCATATAAAAACAAATTTTAAATTGTCAATGATATTTAAGATTTTAGACTGCAGTTGGGATCCTGCAACAGTCTTTAACTTATTCACAATGCATACATATTTCCACATTTTCATATTAATATGATCTAAACTTGGTATTCAATGAAAAATGATAGGTGATAATTGATGATTCTATACAATAATTATGAATATTTGTTTTGCAAAAGAAAAGAAAAAAAGAGCTCCAACTAGACTAGTGGAATGATCAACTCTCAAGGAGACTCTGCTGCCATTTCTGTTCAGCGTAGCAATGTTCTCTGTTAATTTCTGTTGAGTTTAATAATATTCTCTTTTTCAGATCATGATTTCACATTTCCCTTGCATCTTACAGTGAAGCACACCATTGGTCAAAGTATATTGCCACTTAGTGAAGTGAACCACTACCGGTAAAGTTGTTGTACAGAGGAACTTTGTCGTCTCCGACTCTGATAATGTGCTTAACTGGCTATAAGAGATATATACTAACACCCAAAAATTGTATTCAATCTCATTACAGACAATTTTATATGTTAATTTGTAAATCCAGATTTTATTTTGGGAATCAAAATGCCTTGGCCAAACAAAGATCCCTTGAACAAGGTAGCCAGCTGGACCAGTGAGCTGACATGGTGAACCTCCCTAGGCCTGTCATACTCAACAACAGTACACAGTGAAGCCTTTGACCAGCCCTTTGAACCATACTGACCATAATATTGGTCAGTCTGCAAGTCCCCCTAGTTTTAAGATTACACCACATTACAATGTTATTGGAGCACTAAATAACTTCCTCCACAGGACCACAGATCTTGTCTCGGTTGGTTCTGATTCACAGACATCTAAATACAGTCACAATCTGTGGCTCTAGCCTCATTCTGCCAGTATCTGTTTTATAGCCTTTGGTGTCGATTCATCATTTAGATGAGTTGTTGTGTATCTGTAAAGAAGAGATGAGGACTTGCTTAAGCTCAGGACAAGTATTTGGAAGGCTTAATACAAGGTCAGTTAACGAAATAAAAAAGGTTTTAAACAATGAAAACTGCATGAACTCATATGTTAAGAAATCATTCCGAACAAGAGGCCCAATGGGCCTGAATTGCTCACCTGGTATTAGTCACACACATATAACCTTAAAAGTGGACTAAAATAAAGTTACTGGCAAAATATCAGTATATACGATTCCAAGTCATTCGAAAGAACCTGTTAAAAGATTTTTAACACATTTGAGCCAGTGACCTTAAAAGTCTTACAAGGTCATTATGTTAAACAAAATTAATAGCCCTTCATCTGAGCATGTTATACTGGCCAAATATCATCATCCTGGGTCTTTTGGTTATTTAGAAGAAGATGTAAAGAGCAAAAAGTTGAAGCCAGACAACGACAGACGTTGCACCATGGCCTAAGCTCACTTGGCTCTTTGGTTTATTTTGTGAACTTACCTTAAAGCGTTTAATAATCCGTCTACTCTGCCTATGTGTTGGTCTTTTAATACTTTAATTGATGCTCTCACCTGGAAACAGGCAAAATAAACATGATCATTTTACTGGAATTTAGTGGCCTGTAAAACAAAACAAAAAATACCTTTTACACAAGGAGTATACTGTTTCAACAGGAACATCTGTTGGTGTTTATATATACCAGGATGTTCAGAGTTTCTCATCATCAGGTGAAAAGAGGCATTGTTTTTGTTATGTTTAACGATTCTTATTGTTATTCTTCTGCCATGAGGTTGTGGCCTCCTTACCTTTTGATTGGTAGCAGATGTGTAGTTTTGTCTACCAGGTACGTTTAAGGTCATGTTCAAAAGGTGTCATTTCAACATTTTCATTGAGGTCAAAATTCAAATATAATGATGTCGTATGTCATATCTTAAAACGGCCATAACTCATAAACATTAGACTATACAGCATTCATGCGATTATGTCATTTGTAGATATAGGTTGGGGCTAACTTTTTTTTCAATCCATGTTATTTGAACAAGCATCAATTTAATAAAAATTCTCGCTGTCAGGTCAAAGATCGGTGATTTTGCAACTTAAACTGAACAAATCTTTTACAAGTCAATGCAGAATTCCATACGTACGTACAATGTATTTGATGTCTACATTTTTTCTGTAACATTTTTTAACCGTTAACATCATATAACATGTTAAAACCATTTTATTCCAATTTTCTGCTAAGCAGATTTTTTCTAGTACAGGTATTTATGTTTGCCCAGACTACCTTCCAAAGTTTTGATAACTTTTGTCTTGATCCAAAATCCAAGATGGCTTCAATGACATCATATCTATTTATTTTCAGATTGCAATAACTCTTTAACTAATTATAAAGCCATCAATTTCATCTTTGTTTATGTTATGTAGAGCAACAATACAAAACTTTCGTTGGTTTTGGGTAGGAGCCAAAGTTAAAATGCCTGATTTTGGGTAACAAAATTTACAAAATTTCTTGTCAAGTTCTTCATGGTCTAGAGTCTTAATATTTGATCTGTAAGATGCTGAGATGCTTGGCTATAAGATTTGAAAAAATGATCTTGATTTATTTTCTGGTCACAAAGGTCAAATGTTCAAAAAAGTTAATTTCTGAGTATTTTGAAAACGGTATAAGACAGTTACATTATATTCTGGTGTTGATGTTTCAAAAATGCTTGTGGTCAAAGACCCAATCAATCCTAATAGTGAAAAGCCCTTCAAACTGTTAGCCAACACTTTTTAGTTATTAAGTCTATTTTATATATTTATTGATTAAAAGCCATCTTTTGTGATAATTGTTTTTGTGCATTTCGTGTTCCTTGTATTTGAACAAGCAACAAATCAGTAATTTGACCTCTTATTGAATATTTGATAGACGTTTGGCCTGTGAACCTATATCTAGTTATAAATTTTATGAGCCACTTTTTTGGTGAATTTATCTGGTTTTCATAGTCATTTGACTATCAAATAGAAAATATTTATCTTTATTCATACATTTTTGACAGTTGTTTAACCTGTGAAATTCTGTTCATAAACCTTCTCAACAGTCATTTGAACTGTGAGCTTGCATCAATAAATGGATTTTATGACAGTCATTTGACCTGTGAACTTGTGTAAATTAAACATTTTGACCGTTGATTGACCAGTGCACTTACATCTATTAATGAATTTTTGGCGAAAGCTCCTATAGGATGTACATGATCATACAGTATGATCACGCCCACCATCACCCGCATACAGAACATCCTGGTGTCAGCATTCTGGAACCGGGCATTGAAATCTCTGGTCAAGACAAAAAGCAGGTTATAGTTATTTATGGTCAAGACAAAAAGGCAGGTAATAGTTATTTATGGTCAAGACAAAAAGGCAGGTAATAGTTATTTATGGTCAAGACAAAAAGCAGGTAATAGTTATTTATGGTCAAGACAAAAAGGCAGGTAATAGTTATTTATGGTCAAGACAAAAAAGCGGGTAATAGTTATTTATGGTCAAGACAAAAAGGCAGGTAATAGTTATTTATGGTCAAGACAAAAAGGCAGGTAACAGTTATTTATGAATAGTTTGATAAAGTTTATCACAATAGCAATATTACTTCCCTGTGTTATCTTGTTCACATACCATTTTGTTTACTTTTCATATAGTTTATCAATCATGATGCTGTGGTTGCCATTTGCAAAGTTTTTGCATCACCTGCTCATAAACCAAAATCATCTCTCATAACAGAATAAAGACTGCATCCTTTCTTAGCAATTCATTGAGAAGGCAAGTGTTATTGTGGGACTATAACAACATTAGCTATTGTAACATCATCAATCTCTTTTGTGATGTCAACATTTTCACTGTTGTCAAGACTTAATTTGCATTTCAAAGAACTGTTCAAAATAATTTAATTAAGCCTAACTACCAGGTACTCTTTAGCAGATATTGTTATGGTCCTATAACAAACATGTCTTTTGCTGACAAACTAACAAAAAGCCCTGCCAGGATTTATTAAGCTTGTCATCAACACCAATCAGGATACCTATCATGATTACATAATGCACCAACAGACTATCATGATAACACTCACAGATTACTTTTGATAACACACAGATTACACACATGTAACTTACGTAACTCATCATGATAACACTCACAGATTACTCATCATGATAACACTCACAGATTACTCATCATGATAACACTAACAAAATACTCCTTATGATAACACTCACAGATTACTCATCATGATAACACTCACAGATTACTCATCATGATAACACTCACAGATTACTCATCATGATAACACTCACAGATTACTCATCATGATAACGCTAACAAAATACTCATCATGATATCACTCACAGATTACTTATGATAACACACAGATTACACACATGTTACTTACGTAACTCATTATGATAACACTCACATATGACTCATTATGATAACACTGACATATGACTCATTATGATAACACTCACATATGACTCATTATGATTGATAACACTCACGGATTCTCTATCATGACCCTGCAGATATTGGCCATTGCCCCCAGACATTCCGTCGTGTTCTCCACAGGCAGTTCCTTGTTTTGGGTGACAAACCTGGTGGTGGCGTCACTCAGCACCTTGAGCATGGGTGTTGCGTTAGCGTAAAACAGTGACATCCTGTTAGCCATCTCATTAGACACCACATTTTCAGTGTGGCTATCGTCCTAAAATAACAATTATATGTAAATCAAAATTTCAAAATAATTGGAAAGCTCAAGCGGATCAATTTCGATTATTAATTAGCTGAGTCTATATGTGATAGAATACATTCTATCACAGAGTAAAGCGTACACTTGTCAAAGATTTCTACATATCATCAAAAGCATAGAAATAGACTTCAAATTTCATAAAATTTATTATAACACATGAAGTGACAACTCATCATGCCTACAGTATGTTATACAAGCTAATTGTAGTCAGAGAAGAGGGACATGTTAGTTTGAAACAGAACTTTTAAGGCTTTTAAGGCTATACTTGGTCTTAAATTGATCAATTTGTTTATCATTGTTATGCTGACAACACACATTCACATGGACTTTAATTTAAACCACAGGATAGTTGGGATACCATGTCAGAAAATCTTGAAGCTTGTCTGACAGACATCAGTACCTTGATGAACATCAACTTGCTAAAGTTTAATCAGGGACAGACAGAACTATTGAGACTGTCGACCCAGCTGTTAAAAACCTAGGGGTATACTCTGATAGTTCACTGAACATGGAGAAACAAGATAGCACTTTTGCCAAATCCTGTTACTACCAGATCAGGAACATCGACTTTATCTGGCAGTTTTTAAATGCAGATACATGCAAGATTTTGGTGCATTCACTTGTTACCTCTCAGTTGGACTATGATATTGTCCGGCTCTGCAGGATATATCTGACAAACTAACTGGTTGTGTAACCAGGTCGCTATGGGTCAGTTTAACCATTGAGTGTCAATCTGATACAAAAAAGATAAATGAATACTGAATGTGTTTTCTGGCATTCATTGGCTAACCACAAAATGACGTCACTAATTTTGTGAATGAAATGTAATGAAAAAAGGCTAGTGCGGTGAAAACATTTGCATATGATTTGTGAATGAGAGTAAAAAATCTGACACCATGCATTCCAATCGAAAGCGCAATTCTACATTTAGCAGACACTGTAGTATACTCTATCCCCTAGACACCTCCATTAGCTAAGACATGTGTCAAAAACCATGGCTCCATTTACAGTAGGTTGAAAAGCCATGATAACTGTAAGAAACGGGGGAAAACATTAATTCGAAACACTTGTTTTGGGGACTTAATAATCAAGTAACCGTGTTGATATTTGTTTCTACAATGACAGTTCTTGCCAACACTCCCAAACACTGGTCTTTTAGTATTTGAAAGCAAACGTACCTCATTTGCCATCTTCATTCGACTAAGAGTCCGTCTGTAGTAGCTGAAGTCATTCTGTATTGATGGATTTGTCATCTGTAAAGTAACAATAATATGTCGTGACATGATCAATTCTAGTTCACTAAATTCTGACAAACACCGACAATCTATCCATAATATCTGAGGAAATTATTTTCAGTCAGAATTAGGAAGTAACGTTTTTCTAGAACTGATATTTACTTTTTGAGGATTAAATTCTGTGTTAAAAACTTTGTATTTGATGAATTTAGCCAGATATCATTTGATGCAGTTGTTATATTATCATATTGTATTTTTATAATATCTGGTACATCATCATTGTCTAACAGGACTTGTCCAGTACTTATCCAAGGTCTGTATGAATCTGGTTACATGTACTTACCTTTATAATATCTGGTACATCATCATTGTCTAACAGGACTTGTCCAGTACTTATCTAAGGTCTGTATGAATCTGGTTACATGTACTTACTTTTATAATCTCTGGTACATCATTGTCTAACAGGAATTGTCCAGTACTTATCTAAGGTCTGTATGAATCTGGTTACATGTACTTACTTTTAAGTCGTCAAACCTGAGGACAAAGTCTAATATTTCAGCGAATTGTTTGAATAATGCTTGTTGTGACTCGAGGTGCTCCAGGGGTACCATGTCGTTGGAGCAGAGGTCCGACAATAACACAGGCACCACATGTTCTGTAAGAAAGGCAGTAAAAAACATACTAATTTCAGTGTTGTTGACAGGGAAATAGCAAGCTCTGGTGCATCAGTTAAAGGGACAGTTTAGTGAAGTACATTTTTTTTTATAACGTTATCACAAAATTCTTCATGATAGTATAGTTTGATATCCCTTATGATCAATTCATGTCGAGAAATTGACAAGAGATTTTTTAAATCAGTAACGTAGAAATCCTTAACTGTACAGCCGTATGTTTTAGCTGTCGCTGAATTTCTAGCTAACAAATATGTCTTTCCATTCGAGAATAGAAGGTAACTCCTTGCTGTATTTACCTAGCCTCTCTGGAATACAATGCAAGCACATGCATTTATTCTGAATCAAAATCATCTTCCAATATCATCTTTAATATAATAGAATGATTAGGATATGTTACACCCCTAGGATATGTTACACCATTAGGTTATGTTACACCCCTAGGATATGTTACAACATTAGGATATGTTACACCCTAAGCATATGTTACACCCCTAGGATATGTTACACCCCTAGGATATGTTACACCCTTAGGATATGTTACACCCTTAGGATATGTTACACCCCTAGGATATGTTACTCCCCTAGGATATGTTACACCATTAGGTTATGTTACACCCCTAGGATATGTTACACCATTAGGATATGTTACACCCTAAGCATATGTTACACCCCTAGGATATGTTACACCCCTAGGATATGTTACACCCTTAGGATATGTTACACCCCAAGGATATGTTACACCCCTAGGATATGATACACCCCTAGGATATGTTACACCATTAGGATATGTTACACCATTAGGATACATTACACCTTTAGGATATGTTACACCCTTAGCAAATGCTACACCCTGAGGATATGTTATACCCTTAGGATATGTTATACCATTAGGATATGTTACACCATTAGGATATGTTACACCCTTACCATAAATTACACCCTTAGCATACATTGCACCCTTAGGATATGTTACACCCTTAGCATATGTTACACCCTTAGGATATGTTACACCCTTAGCATATGTTACACCCTTAGGATATGTTATAACCTTAGGATATGTTATAACCTTAGCATATGTTACACCCTTAGGATATGTTACACCCTTAGCATATGTTACACCCTTAGGATATGTTATAACATATCCTAAGGGTGTAACATATGCTAAGGGTGTAGGATATCCTAAGGGTGTAACATATGCTTAGGATATGTTACACCCTTAGCAAATGCTACACCCTGAGGATATATTATACCCTTAGGATATGTTATAACCTTAGCATATGTTACACCATTAGGATACATTACACCTTTAGGATATGTTACACCCTTAGGATTTGTTATACTCTTAGCATATGTTATACCCCTAGGATATGTTACACCCTTAGCAAATGCTACACCCTGAGGATATGTTATACCCTTTGGATGTGTTACACCATTAGCAGCAGTAACACCCTTTGGATATGTTTCACACTTAGCATCTGTTAAACTCTTAGCATATGTTATACCCCTAGGATATGTTACTCCCTTAGCATATGTTACTCCCTTAGGATATGTTATACCATTAGCATCAGTTACACTCTTTGGATATGTTACACACTTAGCATATGTTAAACTCTTAGCATATGTTATACCCTGAGGATATGTTACACCATTAGGATATGTTACACCCTTAGGATATGTTACACCATTAGGATATGTTACACCCTTAGCATGCATTACACCCTTAGCATATGTTACACCCCTAGCATACATTACACCTTTATGAAACATTACTCCCTTAGGATATGTTACACCCTGAGGATATGTTACACACTTAGCATACGATACACCCTTTGCATACATTTCACCCTTAGGATATGTTATACCCTTAGGATATGTTACACCCTTAGGTTATGTTACACCCTGAGGATATGATACACCCTTAGGATAGGTTACATGCTTAGGATGTGTTACACCCTTAGGATATGTTACACCCTAAGATTATGTTATACCCTAAGATTATGTTACACCCTTAGGATATGCTACACCCTTAGCATATGTTACACCCTTAGCATACATTACACCCTTAGGATATGTTACACACTTAGGATACATTACACCCTTAGGATATGTTACACACTTAGGATACATTACACCCTTAGGATACGTTACACCTTTAGGACATGTTATACCCTTAGGATATGTTTCAACCTTAGCATATGTTACACCCTTAGGATATGTTACACCCTTAGCATAAGTTACACCCTTTTGATATGTTACACACTTAGGATCTGTTACACCTTTAGCATTTGATACATCCTTAGCATACGTTACACCCTTAGAATATGTTACACCCTTAGCAGAAGATACACCCTAAGATTATGTTACACCCTTAGGATATGTTACACCCTTAGCATATGTTATACCCTTAGCATATGTTACAACCTTAGGATACGTTACACCCTTAGGACATGTTATACCCTTAGGATATGTTACACTCTTAGGATACATTACACTCTTAGGATAAAGTAGAACTGCTACACCAGCTAGGACCATTATTCCTCAAATGATACTGTATACCAGCTCAGATCAAAACTTTTTAAAATTGTTCATTATGGATAAACATTTGTATGATTTATCTTTTTTAACCTATTTTTTTAGGCTTTATTTAAACAATTGAACACTTCCATCACAATTTCTATTCACTGATACCCGCGGGTTATGTCTACAATAAGCTTTATAATCACCATACTGTATCTTATACTTTGCTCTCCTTTCTTATGTTTGATTTTAACAGTACTCCTAAACATTTCATTCAAAGAGATTGTGATAAATCTTTTTATAGATTTAGGGGAAATCTAAGTAGCGCAAAGGAAATTTATGCCTTTTAAAAATTATATCCAGATAATGGCGGTTATCGAACTTGTCTGAGCTTTCATGGTAATTAACCTTGTTGTGAAGTTTGAAGTTAATCCGTTAATAATTACTCGAGATATCGAGCGGACACTGTTTCGGCAAGTCCATAAAGGGGCATAACTCCACAAATTATGGTCGGATAATGGCCGTTATCGAACTTGTCCGAGCTTTCATGGTAATTAACCTTGTTGTGAAGTTTGAAGTTAATCCGCTAATAATTAATTGAGATATCGAGCGGACATCGTTCAAATGCCCGCCCACCCGCCCTCCCGCTTACGTGATAACATAATACGTCCCCGTCTTTGACGGGCGTATAATGATTATCGAGGATATTTTGAGAAGCCTGAGCTGCCATGGACAATGTGTGAATTATAATTTGCAATACCACTTTAGCTTGTTCTGTAGTAAAACATAAGTCTATGTCTCCAAAGTGACTTACCTAGTTGTGCACTGAATTCAAAGTAGGTTTTGAGTTTCTCCACTAGGGGACAGACAGAGGACCAGGCCGTTTTCTGTAGTTCATCATTGCTAGGATTGGATATCGCCTGTAACAATCATTGAAATACACAATTTTTTGTTCGTTTTAAAATTCAATGGAAATCACAAGTAAATATTTTTTTTAAGATTTGAAACATCATAACAAGGGACCCCAAAGGAATCCTGTGCTAACAAGGGACCCCAAAGGAATCCTGTGCCAACCATTGTCAGATCTCAGGTGGCTCTATGTAAAACTGATTGCATCTTTTCTAAAAAGTGACTGTACATTGTGGGAAATTTTGATCAAGCTTCTGGCTAAATATTATGACTTGATAGTTCTTCTAATGTCAAAAGGTTTAGTAATCCGTGCCTGTAGTTGACAACGACATGCTACAATGAAAATACATTGACTCTAGAAATGTTTGGTCTTAAGAAGAAATCGTTTTACAGATATTACAAATTTTATGCCTATGAACCTGACAATAGGTCAAGGTCATTCATTAAGTCTAGGTGAGCTAACAAGGGGAAAGGTTTGTTGACTACTTAAAGAGAAATATTGATAAAACAAATAACCGGTCGAAATCCAAGATGGCTATCTTGATTTCCATATGTTTCTGAATAAAACATGCACTGCAAAAGGCCAAGGGGAAGTTAGGGGACAAACATGAACCATTTGAGAAAGATCCATTTAGTACCTCTTGAAAATAGTGATAAAGAACTTTCAAATGTTCCGATCAGTCTCAAAATGTAACATGCACAACTACAGACCAAAGGGGAAATATTCCTGCAGAACTTCCTAAACAAGAAGCCCAGAGGGCCTGTATCGCTCACCTGGATAATAAACCAGGAAATTATTCTTATTACATAAAATCCCTCCAATGGTACTGAAGACGAAGGATTTTAAAGATTTAAACCTCAAATTTCCCTATTGGGCCCCGCAACTCTGCACCCAGAGGTGCCACACCCTCCGATTATACAAAAATTATTAATCAAATTCCTCCAATAGTACTAAAGAAGAATGATTTTGAAGACTTACACATCAAATCCCCTCTTTGGGCCCCCGCATCCAGAGGGTAACACCCTCTGTTTATATAAAATTGAGTCTCCTTGGTCCAAGGATGCTCCAGACTAAATTAAGGAATAAATCCCTTTATCCCTATGGAGAAGGATTTTAAAGGTTTTACCTCTATTTCCCCTATTGGGGCCTGCTTCTATGCCCCCAGGGTGGTCACATCCACTGTTTATACAAAATTGAGTGCCCTTGACATAAGAATGCTCCAGACCAAATTTAGTCAAAATACATTGGGATGTTCAGGACTTGTAGCATTTTAAAGGAAAAGTTGAAGGATGGACGAACGGATGATGGACGCTGCAGTAATGACATAAGCAAGCTCACCATGTTCCTTTTGACCAGGTGAGCTAAAAATTAGCACTTACAAACTTTAACTCTCAAAATTCAAGACGGCCACCGCTATTATATAATATGCACAAATGCTGACCAAGGGAAGCCTACTTTTGAAATTTCAGTAAGATTTCTTCTATACAATATAAGTAACAGAGCTAACAAACTTCAAATATAAAACATTCAAGATGGCTGCCAATTTGGCCATCTTGGTTTTTCCATTCAGTCAAAAATTTGTTCTAAGTGTTAAGGATGAAAAAGATCCATCCACTACTTTCTGAGAAACAGTGCTAATAAACTTTAACCCTCAAAATTCAAGATGTCTGCCTGTTGATCACCTTGGTTTACTGATCAGTCCCAAAACTTAATATTCAGAAAAACAAAACATGGGAACCTGCATGCGCTAACTGAGAAATTGCACTAACAAACTTTAACTCTGAAAATTCAGTGGCCACCGTTCAGCCATCTTGGTTTTCTGATCCATCCCAATATTTTATATGCACAACTATTAAAGGAAACCTGTAAGTTAGATTGAGATAAATCTATCCAGTTCCATCTAAGAAAAAACACAAATAACAATTGTTCAAAGCCAGATGGAACAAGATGCCCAGAGGGCCTGTATCGCTTACCTGGATATCTCTATAAGCAATCATGGCAAAAAATTCTCCAATTGAGATCCAAGGAAATATGCCAGACCCCAAGGCCAATCCTTGTTACATATATGTATTAGGTTTTTCATGCCCAGCAATTTTATGTATGGTCATGGGGTGGGGATCTCAACTGTTTCCAAGCTGTGATTCAGAAACTAGGTCCCTGGGGTTGTGGCCAGACCCTAGGATCAATTCTAATATCATGACTGTGCCTTTGTCTCTTTTTGCCCAGTATTTGTATATATAGTTTTGGGGTGGGGATCTCAATCATTTCAAAGTTATGACTCTGATGTTACGTCTGCAAGGGTGGGGCAGACCGTGGGGTCTATTCTAATATCATGACTACATTCGTCTCTTTATGCCCAACAATTGTATATATATAGTTTTGGGGTGGGGATATTAACCATTTCAAAGTTATGACCCAGGGGTTAAGTCTCCAAGGGTGGGGCAGTCCCCAAGGCTGTCCTGGAAGCATATGTGCATTCATCTCTTTGTCATCGGCAATTGTCTATATGGTTATAGGGTGGGGATCTCAACTGTTTACAAGCTGTGACTAAGAAACTAGGTCCCTAGGGGTTCGAGCAGACCCCAGGGTCTATTCTAAAATTGTGACTGCATTCGTCTCTTTATGCCCAGAATTTGTATATATAGTTTTGGGGTAGAGATCTTAACTATTTTAAAGTTGTTTATAGCAATTTAGCCCAATTTTCCCCTTTTGGCCCCGCCCTCATCCCCCTGTGGGGTCAGCCCCACTATTTATACAATTTTGAATCCCCAGCACCTAGGGATGCTTCCAGTCAAATATGGTTGATATCCATCTCTTATTTCCAGAGAAGAAGTCGCTTAAAGTAATATTAATACAGCCAAATAAACCTTTTTGACACTGCCTCTCAGCCCCCTGGGAGGTAAGCCACACCATTTGTTCAATTTTGTATCCCTGCCTCCCATGAATGATTTTGATTGAATATGATTGATATCCAGTTCATAGTTCTACAGAAGAAGTCGTTTGTAGCAATATAGCCAAATTGCCCCTTTTTGGCCCCCGCCCCTCAGTCCAACCATTTGTACAATTTTGAATCTGCACCACCTAGGGATGCTTACAGTCAAATATGGTTGATATCCATCTCTTAGTTCCGGAGTAGAAGTCACTTAAAGCAATATAGCCAAATATGGTTGATATCCATCTCTTAGTTCCAGAGAAGAGGACGCTTATAGTGAAACAGCCAAATTGCCCCCTTTCTGCCCTGCCCCTCAGCCCCCCCCTGGGGGTCGACCCTACTATTTGTACAATTTTGAATCCCCACCACCTAGGGATGCTTCCATTTAACAAGAGGCCCAATGGGCCTGCATCGCTCACCTGGAATTAATTTCACACATGTAATCTTAAAAGTAGATTAAAATACAGTTACAGGCAAAATATCAGTGTTTCATTCATAAGAACCTATTAAAAGATTTAAACATATGACACCTGTGACCTTGAATGTCGAAAAAGGACATTACAATATTAGGTTGAACAGAGTTTATAGTCTTCCAACCCAGTATGCTTCTGGAAAAATATCATTACCCTGGACCTTTTGGTTATACAAAACAAATCATTTTAAGATTTAAACATTTATTGACCACTATGACCTTGAATATGGGCGAAGGTCATTTACTTGGTAGTCCTTCATCCCAGCATGTTAATGGCCAAATATCATTACCCTTGGCCTTTTGCTTAGTAAGAAGAAGTCATTCAATGGTTTTAAACATATTTGACCCCTGTGACCTTAAATATATATGTCAAGGTCATTCATTTGAACTTGGTAGTCCTTCATCTCAGCATGTTACTGGCATTATCCTAGGCCTCTTGGTTATTCAGAAGAAGTTGTTTAAAGGTTACGAATATATTTGACCCTGTGACCTTGAAAAAAAGATGAAGGTCATTCATTTGAACAAACTTTATAGCCCTTCATCCCAGCATGCTACTAGCCAAATATCATCACCCTAGGCCTATCGGTTATTCAGAAGAAGTTGTTTAAATGTTTAAAACATATTTGCCCTCTGTGACCTTGAGTGTAAGTCATGGTCATTTATTTGAACAAACTTGGTAGCCCTTCATCCCAGCATACCACTGCCCAAATATCATCACCCTAGGCCTCTCGGTTATTCAGAAAAAGTTGTTTAAAGGTTTAAAAAATATTTGACCCCTGCGACCTTGAAAGTGGGTCAAGGTCATTTATTTGAACAAACTTGGTAGCACTTCATCCCAGCATGTTACTGGCCAATTATCATTAACCTAGGCCTCTTGGTTATTCAGAAGAAGTTGTTTAAAATGTTTTTAACATATTTTACCATTGTGACCTTGAATATAAGTCAAGGTCAATTATTTGAAGAAACTTGGTAGTCCTTCATCCCAGCATGTTACTGGCCAAATATCATCATCCTAGGCCTCTCGGTTATTCAGAAGAGTTGTTTAAAAGATTTTCACATATTCGACCCCTGTGACCTTGAATATCAGGCAAGGCCATTTATTTGAACAAACTCTTGGTTATTCAGAAGAAGTTGTTTAAAGATTTTAACATATTTGACCCCTGTGACCTTGAAAATTGATGAAGGTCATTTATTTGAACAAACTTGGTAGCCCTTCATCCCAGCATATTACTGCCCAAATATCATCACCCTAGGCCTCTTGGTTTTTCAGAAGAAGTTGTTTAAATGTTTTTAACATATTTGTCCCCTGTGACCTTGGATATAGGTCAAGGTCATTTATTTGAACAAAATTGGTAGTCCTTCATCCCAGTATGTTACTGGCCAAATATCTTCACCCTAGGCCTCTTGGTTATTCAGAAGAAGTTGTTTAAAATATTTTCACATATTTGACCCCGGTGACCTTGAATATCAGGCAAGGTCATTTATTTGAACAAACTTGAAAGCCCTTAATTCAAGCATGTTACTGGCTAAATATCATCATCCTAGACCTCTTGGTTATTCAGAAGAAGTTGTTTAAAGATTTTAACATATTTGACCCCTGTGACCTTTAAAATTGATGAAGGTCATTTATTTGAACAAACTTGGTAGCCCTTCGGGCCAGGTGAGCTAAAAATGGTTGATATCAATCTCTAAGTTCCAGAGAAGAAGTCACTTAAAGCAATATAGCCAAATTGCCCACGCCTCTCAGCCCCCTGGGGGTCAGCCCCACAATTTGTACAATTTTGAATCCCCCCCACCTAAAATTGTTCCTGGTCACATTTAGTTAAATTCCAATCAGTGGTTAAGCACAAGAATTCCATGGAAGTGGATGTGTCACCTGCGCAGGAAGCTTGGAGAGTACGAAGAAATAGATACACTTTTCATTTCAAGAAATAATGTTAAAAGTAAGCAATAATCACAGATTATGTTTTTGGATGGTATCATTTTTATTAGATATTGTTATATAATCTGTTATTCTGGGAAGAATACTCTGAGTTTTAAGGAGTTTGCTATGGATACTCATTGTCTCAATTCCAAGCTTAATTTGTATGATTTGTCGGATGGTTTCCCATAAATAAATGGATTAACTTGTGGATTATGATGTTAAACAGCTAGTGTTGACAATAACATTTGAAAATGCAAGTATGCTTAGCACTGCATGAAGTTTGAGTTCGATCGGCCCAAGGAAACTCAAGTTATGGCACGAAAACAGATTTTCTATTTATAGTAACAGTGACCTTGACCTTTGACCTTCGGACCTGAAAAGCAATCCCAAGAAAGCACTTTTGGTAAGGAAGCACTGCATGAAGTTTGAGTTTGATCGGCCCAAGGAAACTCAAGTTATTGCACGAAAACCTCTGTGCAGACGCCGCCGCCAATTCCGACAAAGCAATACCTTTGTGTCACCACTTTTCGCAGGAGATACAAAAAGAAGTCGTTTCAAGAAATTGTTGATAGATGGACGATGGACGCCACGATATGGCATAAGCTCACCTTGCAATTGGTCCTTGGTACCCGATGAGCTAAAAATGGATTAATGGGAGGACGCATACCAAGGACGATTTGAACAAGCCACCATCTGAGTTATATGTCTTCCTGTGTAGTCAGGTTATATGGATGATTACGTAAACATCTTGATAATTACAGGTATAAAAACTTTTTACAGTTATATTTGTAAAATCTCACTGTAATGTATGGGAAGGATTATTAGGATCAATTCATAGTCAATGCATGTGCCCATTTCACTTAACTGTTATATGTAAACAGTATACCTACCTGTCGTATAGCATCTGCTGCTCCAGCATAGCTCTGTACACTCCTCAGTATAGACTGACCCTCATTCAGTACCAATTGTACACTCTGCCATGTGACCTTCTCCAGAGGTGTTGGCTGGGCATCTACAGCACAAGCATAATCAACACTATAAAGGCCTACAGGTAAGTATTTTGTGTTTAGTATGTTATATATAGCTAAAGCTGTATTAAGCAACCACCAAGAGAAAATTAAAAACTGGTCATTTGATAAAAGTGGTCTATGAAGTTTGACCATAGCTTATTACAGAAATGGACATAATCAACGGAACAATACCTTATTCAGACAAATGTCAACTGACGTCATCCAAAGAGCACATTCACACATGCATTTCTAGGTAGTTAGAAAGATCATTGTCCAATTGATCAGGTAATAACTGATCTCATGAATAAGAGTCAAATGATTATTATGACAGTAATTAAACAAACTCAGGAGAGTGTTGGACACAAATCGTCAAACGTTGAACTCATACATGCCATATCTAATGAGCCTGGGTATTTTTAGTATATTAAAGTGGATATATCAATAAAGGACAAAGCAGAGAGTTCAGAAAAAGCCAGGATTATTTAAACACATAGGTAAATCAACATGTGAAACAATGTTACCCCGCAACACCATCAAAACCCTCATACATTGGAAAACCTGGTGGAGGGAGATCTACCACACTGGGCTCCTGAGAGATTGGCAGCGGAGGGAGATCTCCCACACTGGGCTCCTTAGATATTAGCAGTGGGGGATATCTCCCACACTGGAGTCCTTAGATATTGGCAGTGGATGGATATCTCCCACACTGGGCTCCTTAGAGATTGGCAGTGGATTGATATCTCCCACACTGGGCTCCTTAGAGATTGGCAGTGGATGGTTATCTCCCACACTGGGCTCCTTAGAGAATGGCAGTGGATGGAGATCTCCCACACTGGGCTCCTTAGAGGTTGGCAGTGGATTGATATCTCCCACACTGGGCTCCTTAGATATTGGCAGTGGATGGAGATCTCCCACACTGGGCTCCTTAGAGATTGGCAGTGGATTGATATCTCCCACACTGGGCTCCTTAAAGAATGGCAGTTGATGGAGATCTCCCACACTGGGCTCCTTAGAGGTTGGCAACCCTGTGTTTATGGCTCCAACAAGAATTACATTGTGTATAATGATTTGTCTGTTAACCCCTGTGACCTTAAATACTGGTCAAGTTCATTTTTTTCTTGCAAACTTTGTCAGACATTATTCTAGGAACCTATCAGCCAAACAGTATGCTTCAAGGACTTTAAGTTAATCAGGAGAAGTCGTTTCAGAGTTTAAACAAATTTGACAGCTGTGACCTTGAATATTGGTCAAGGTCATTTCTCCCTCCAGGCCAGGTGAGCTTACAATAGGCCCAGTGAGCCTACATTGCTCACCTGCTATTATTCTCACACTTTTAAGCTTAAAATTGGACCAAGTTTCAACATAGTTGATTAGTCTAGATAAAGCTATAGGATAAATATCCTTACCAATGACTCTTGGTTATTAAAAACAATTTGTTTCAATATTTTTACACATTTTAGCCCATTGACATTGAAAGTCTAACAAAGGCATTCAGTTGGACAAAGTTGGAAGCCCTAGATCCAAAATATCATCACTCTGTAGCTTTTGGTTATGCCATGTTTGACATGTGACCTTGAAAGTTGGTAGAGGTCATCTTCATTTGCAAAGTTTGTCAGGATCCATCCAAGGAAGCTACATATGTATACTAGCCAAATATTATTTCTATGCCTTTTGGTTCTCTAGAAAAGAAGTTGTTTTAAATGTGACATATTTGACCCTTGTGACCTTGAAAGAAGGTCAAGGTTATTTTCATTCACAAAAACATTGTCAACCTCCATCCCAAGAAGTCACCAGCCAAATATTAGATTCTATACCTTTCAGTTCTTCATCAGAAGTCATTTGAAGTGTTTGTCATATTTGACCCCTGTGACTTTGAGAGACAGTCTAGGTCATTTTGGTTCTCAAACATTGTCTAGCTCTTACCACGGAAACTGTCAGCCAAATATTATGACTCTAGGCCTTTCCATTCTTTAGAAGAAGTCATTTAAAGGAAAAGCCGACGGAGGGATGGAAGGACGGACGACAGACGGCGCACCATGGCATAAGCTCACTAGCCCTTCAGGCAGGTGAGCTAATAATCAACTAAATGGCTTTTTTCCTGCTTATTTGCAATTTTAAAAGATGATTTTCTACAGACATATTTCTACGGTGTATTTTATTGTATATAATGCAAAAAACCAGACAATATCAGATTAATTGATCCGCCTGTAAAAGGAACTCTAGAGACTCGATGGTCGTGTCTTGTCTTGGTATATCATGCAGGTGAGAGCTTATTGTATGCATAATGGGCCAGGGCATGGCAATAAGGAATGATTCATACAAATAACATATGAACCCATACAATGGAGTTGTAAAAGCCCTTAGATTTACAATATTGATTGAGGAAATACTACTACAAGATAAAAAGCTGATCGTAAGCAAAGTTCAAATACATATAGTCATATATCAATTAATAGAAACTGATTCAACTCAAGTTTCTTCCCTAAAATTAGCAGAAAGAGACTTGTTGTCCTTGACTATGAATGCCAGGCAACACTTGGAGGCTTAACACAGTGTAACAGGACACGTTTGGTATCTAACAGGATGGAATTAAACGTGTATATAACAGACTGTACAAGGGCTCCAACCAAACAGCCTGCCGTGTATATAACAGACTGTACAAGGGCTCCACCCAAACACCCTGCCGTGTATATAACAGACTGTACAAGGGCTCCAACTAAACAGCCCGCCATGTATATAACAGACTGTACAACGGCTCCAACCAAACAGCCTGCCGTGTATATAACAGACTGTACAAGGACTCCAACCAAACAGCCCGCCGTGGATATAACAGACTGTACAAGGGCTCCAACCAAACAGGCCGCCGTGTATATAACAGACTGTACAATGGCTCCAACCAAACAGCCCGCCGTATATAACAGACTGTACAACGGCTCAAACCAAACAGCCTGCCGTGTATATAACAGACTGTACAAGGACTCCAACCAAACAGCCCGCCGTGGATATAACAGACTGTACAAGGGCTCCAACCAAACAGCCTGCCGTGTATATAACAGACTGTACAAGGACTCCAACCAAACAGCCCGCCGTGGATATAACAGACTGTACAAGGGCTCCAACCAAACAGTCCGCCGTGTATATAACAGACTGTACAAGGGCTCCGCTGTGGATATAACAGACTGTACAACGGCTCCAACCAAACAGCCTGCCGGGTATATAACAGACTGTACAAGGGCTCCAACCAAACAGTCCGCCGTGTATATAACAGACTGTACAAGGGCTCCGCTGTGGATATAACAGACTGTACAACGGCTCCAACCAAACAGCCTGCCTGTATATAACAGACTGTACAAGGGCTCCAACCAACCAGCCTGCCGTGTATATAACAGACTGTACAAGGACTCCAACCAAACAGCCCGCCGTGGATATAACAGACTGTACAAGGGCTCCAACCAAACAGTCAGCCGTGTATATAACAGACTGTACAATGGCTCCAACCAAACAGCCCGCCGTGTATATAACAGACTGTACAAGAGCTCCAACCAAACAGCCCGCCGTGTATATAACAGACTGTACATGGGCTCCGACCAAACAGCCCGCCGTGTATATAACAGACTGTACAATGGCTCCAACCAAACAGCCCGCCGTATATAACAGACTGTACAACGGCTCCAACCAAACAGCCTGCCGGGTATATAACAGACTGTACAAGGGCTCCAACCAAACAGGCCGCCGTGTATATAACAGACTGTACAATGGCTCCAACCAAACAGCCCGCCGTATATAACAGACTGTACAACGGCTCAAACCAAACAGCCTGCCGTGTATATAACAGACTGTACAAGGACTCCAACCAAACAGCCCGCCGTGGATATAACAGACTGTACAAGGGCTCCAACCAAACAGGCCGCCGTGTATATAACAGACTGTACAAGGGCTCCGCTGTGTATATAACAGACTGTACAACGGCTACAACCAAACAGCCTGCGTGTATATAACAGACTGGACAAGGGCTCCAACCAAACAGTCCGCCGTGTATATAACAGACTGTACAAGGGCTCCGCTGAGTATATAACAGACTGTACAACGGCTCCAACCAAGCAGCCCGCCGTGTATATAACAGACTGTACAAGGGCTCCGCTGTGGATATAACAGACTGTACAACGGCTCCAACCAAACAGCCTGCCGGGTATATAACAGACTGTACAAGGGCTCCAACCAAACAGTCAGCCGTGTATATAACAGACTGTACAATGGCTCCAACCAAACAGCCCGCCGTATATAACAGACTGTACAACGGCTCAAACCAAACAGCCTGCCGTGTATATAACAGACTGTACAAGCGCTCCAACCAAACAGCCCGCCTTTGATCATGATTCAATGATGTAGCATGTTCCTCCTACAGTTATACACGTACACAACATGAGGCAGTTCTAATCTATAACCATATACAAGTAACATAAACCTTACAAATATATATTACACATGTAGAGGTATACTTATCATTCTAAATGTTAACTGGGTATTCTGAAAACATCAACTTTTATACACATTGTCCAAGTGGCATTTAAAAGGTTTTTCATGTATGTTGAATACTTACTTTCAAAATCGACAAAGAAGTCTGAGTCCTTTGGGGAGTCCTTGGGAAGGATCAGACGAAGAAGATTGCCCATCTCGGGGCGGTGCTTATCAATGTATCTGCAACACACAGAACACATAATTGTTGCATTAACGATATACAGTTGTGCATTTTGTCAGTGTTTACCTAAACCGATTCCTTGTGCTCCACTTGATATGTAACTATGTTATACATACAGTACAATGGTGTACGTACCTGGTAGCTATAATGGGTGAGGAACCATCAATGTTTGAGTACAATAGTGTACGTACCTGGTAGCTATAATGGGTAAGGAAACATCGATGTTTGAGTACAATGGTGTACATACCTGGTAGCTATAATGGGTGAGGAACCATCGATGTTTAAGTACAATGGTTTACGTACCTGGTAGCTATCATGGGTGAGGAACTATCGATGTTTAAGTACCAGCTACATGCTGTATATTGGGAAATTTTCACCGCAGTTTTACTTTTGCCATTTTTGATCTCCGTAATGAGGGTTATTTTATCATGAGTATTAGTAAATGATAAATATAGTAATATATATATATACATATACGCCAAGGGTGACATAAGCGCTGGGTGAATATGGATTTCAATGGTAAAGGGTGAAAAGTTGACAGATTGAAAGTTTCCCGGTTTTCAGTACTCAAATAATAGCAAATAGCGGCACATATACAGACAGATTGACAGACTAACAATTTTATTCCGGTATACACCAGTACCTGAACTCCATTATGAGGGAGTTAGAGCATTATTTTCAATGTATTTGTTTGTTTTTTGTATTTAATGTTGAGGAATGACACTGTTTATGTTCTCATTTCTGATATAGCTGGTTAATCCGTCAACATGAATCTTTACTATAACTATAACATTGACACTCTATGATATCTAAGGATAAATGATAATCAATAATCCTTCAGTACTGGACTGAACAAACTTAAATAACAAAACATTCCCACCCTATAAATGCTTTGGAGAATCAAATTATTTAGTCAAGATCCCATGAATCCTGTGAATTTTTCATTCAATGCACACCTTTTGTCCACTTCTCAATACACATGAAGTAGTATACAGCATCCCTCTACATGTCTACATTTGCATTGTTACAAGGCTTAAACACTATAGGGTACCCTTAAAATCTCTAGACCTTTCCCTCAGTACTTGAGGAAGAGTCCATTTACTGACTGATGGGGTCAAGAGGATTGACTTAACCATAAAATATTGATGATGAGCTGTTTTAAGACTTCAAACATGACGACACAACAGATCTATTGATCACACTACAGAAAATAGGTGGTCTCTCACACATACACCACACTACAGAAAATTGGTGGTCTCTCACACGTACACATCAAACCAGAAAATATGTCCATGTAAGTTTTACAATTTAATAAAATCAATAAAATCTCACATCAATATGT